TATCTTCTCATTTTAATATACGCAATGCATTGTCCACTACAATAAAATACAAGGCAGAAAAAGCAATAATAGATGCAATATATATCATAACCTCCTAATGTATTTAACTTTAAGTTTCTGTGTATAACCACCATGGGCATAGTTTTATTTAAATCATAATACATAATGCGAAAGTTCTTATAATAATATTATTTGTCAAACATTAACAATAACAGGACGACCCGTCGCTGATTGGACATTTTAGCTGATCCTGATCGGACCAATATTAACAAATAAGGTATTTAAACGTAGTACAGACAAATCCGTCTGAAAAAATCGATCTGCTGACACACGAAGCTTTCAGAGGATTTTTGACGTTTTTGAGTCCCATTAGGTGCCCTTTATGGCTGACCAACTTTTCCAAACTTTTCCACTTAAGTCTTAAGGCCACTTTTTGCCACTTTACCACTTTTTACCACCTTTCTTGTTTGTCGAATATCTTTAGTTGTGAACATCGTAAAAGGTTGCGGATCAATCGAGTGTGTTCATATTATCAGGAAGAAAAACTTTTGTTCAAACAATTTTTACGTCAGATAATAAGTTAATTGGATAATTATCAATTAACTAATTAGCAAAATTCTAAAAATTTTTTATTGGCTCAAAATGATCGGAATAGCTTGAAACACGGAGAAAAGTATTTTTTAGAAAAACTTTGAAAATTGTTCACTTACATTTTTTTTTCGAGACTGAAAAAATTTCGAAAATTCAAAATATTTTTTCCGCCAAAAGTGATCAAACCGCATGAAACACGGAGAAAAATGCCTTTCAAAAAAACTTAGTGAATTTTTCGTTTCAAGAATACTTAAATCGCCAATATTTGTAGTTGGAGTTCAGTAAATCTCGGCAGATTTTAGTAATCAGGAATTACTAAGTGAAGAGGTCTGAAACTGAAAAACGTTAACCATACGATCGCGCGGCGATATAAGAGTTTCATAGACTAATTTTCACAGAAACTGCACCAATGGCACAGTCAAGATCGAAACGATAGCCTGCTGTACTGTCATTTTATTGATTTCAATGATGAATCAGTGGGGTTAAGATAATCACATTTGTAATAAATAAACATCTCTGTACCGTCAATTGTGCTAATCTAAACCAGCCTACCTGTATTACCAGACCTCTTCTTTTCCTCGACAATCAAACCAAGTTGTTCATATCGCATTTGGTGGGTGATGTAAGTAGTATATAGTAATACATATCGAGCTGTATTCAATCACAATACGACACAATGCAATACGTGTATATTATATTATGGCCCTTAATGAGGTATATGAAACGTTCTATAGCGTACACTTCTCGTTACTCCAGTGAGAGGCCCAGTATGGAGAGGTTTAACAGTTTAGCACGAAAACGTCTACTTGGCCTCATGGCTCTTTGACAGCTCAAAGAAGGCGAAAAAGACCAGAAAGCTTAAATTTTCAACTCCACATTAATCCTGAGCTGATCATCATGGCCCCGAATATCCTACGGGAAGAACCTGTATTTTTACCTCACGACGTCCGGATTTCAAATCAACACCCTCAATAACATTAACAATCCTTCCTGATCAGGATCTGTCTCTATTAGCAATTTCCAAAATATCCTGACTCTCGTGGAACATTTCACTGAATTAATTATTACTGGTTTTTTATTACCCCTTGCCCGTCATTCGTATCTACATCTTACCCTTGCCAGTATGTTACCCTTGCTGATTTTACGTTTAGCCGACCCTGACATATGGGGGTGATTTGAGGTAACCACCGATCCAGCATAGTAAATGAAGCGGTATGCAGAACAATACAAAACAAATCACAGTTGATGTTGGAAGGTGTATTTACACTTGCTTCCTGGACCTGGCTGTTCCTTAGTTTCCCTGATCTGTTCTTGCCTTCTTCGAACGGTAAATGAGCCATGAGGCCAAGTATACGTTTTCGTGATAAACTTTAAAACGTCTCTATACCGGGTTTCTCACGGTATAAAGCGTTACATAAACCTCATTAGTCATTAAGAGCCATATAATATACACGTATTGTGTCGTAGTCTGATTGAACACAGCTCGATATGTATTAGTTTCAATACTTTCAACACTATACTATATAACAAATAATTTTAATGACAGGATGGATTACTGAGGGCACTGTGTTAAGGTGATTTAAGTGGGTCCCAATTCCCACCAACCATTCTTCTTTGTGTTATGAATACTTGCTTCATCATCTCCTTTTAATAAAAATCACGGTGTCTTTATTGACTAAGCGCATTACTACTTACATCACCCACCAAATGCGATATGAACAACTTGGTTTGATTGTCGAGGAAAAGAAGAGGTCTGGTAATACAGGTAGGCTGGTTTAGATTAGCACAATTGACGGTACAGAGATGTTTATTTATTACAAATGTGATTATCTTAACCCCACTGATTCATCATTGAAATCAATAAAATGACAGTACAGCAGGCTATCGTTTCGATCTTGACTGTGCCATTGGTGCAGTTTCTGTGAAAATTAGTTTATGAAACTCTTATATCGCCGCGCGATCGTATGGTTAACGTTTTTCAGTTTCAGACCTCTTCACTTAGTAATTCCTGATTACTAAAATCTGCCGAGATTTACTGAACTCCAACTACAAAAATTGGCGAATTAAGTATTCTTGAAACGAAAAATTCACTAAGTTTTTTTGAAAGGCATTTTTCTCCGTGTTTCATGCGGTTTGATCACTTTTGGCGGAAAAAATATTTTGAATTTTCGAAATTTTTTCAAAGTCTCGAAAAAAAATGTAAGTGAAAAATTTTCAAAGTTTTTCTAAAAAATACTTTTCTCCGTGTTTCAAGCTATTCCGATCATTTTGAGCCAATAAAAAATTTTTAGAATTTTGCTAATTAGTTAATTGATAATTATCCAATTAACTTATTATCTGACGTAAAAATTGTTTGAACAAAAGTTTTTCTTCCTGATAATATGAACACACTCGATTGATCCGCAACCTTTTACGATGTTCACAACTAAAGATATTCGACAAACAAGAAAGGTGGTAAAAAGCAGAGTTGAAAAATACGTGAGATAATTTTTTAAATACGCCGTATTTAACGTTTTTTTGCTTAGAAATAAAATACGTCAAAAATACGTTAAAATACGTTTGCCTATTTTTTTCGTAATTGCATTCAAAAACTTAATAAGTTATGTCTTTCGTTCGCAATTTTTTCAGACACATCGTCATTACGATTCAATTTCATTTATTTTGTTCCCTTGAACGGGATTGGAATTTACTTTTGGAATTGAACGCAGAAAAATATTCATATTTGTGTAGAAAATCGTCCGTAAAAAAGTTTCAATAAATACACAATTAAGAACACAATTACTCAGATGAATCGTAATCATCATTGAAATCACATTTCTCCATGTTTTGGATAAGTCGAAGGTTGGCATTAATGCCTACTAGCTTTATGGCCTTATCCGTTGCTAGTCTATTTCTGCGTTTATCAACAATATATTCCCAAGAGGACCAGTTAGTTTCACAGGCAGAAGCACTACAGACGAGGCTCAGAATTTTAGCGCGCAATAATTCGTATTTGCACGCTTTGGTACGCTTTAGCACGTGCACAGTTCCCTTAAATCATACGCGAGGTGATCAACTACAGAGCTACGCGAGTTTTAATCAAACTTTTAACTTGTATAATTAGAAATAGTACTTATTATTTCATTGGAGCTCTTAATGCTACAAAATCACTTGTAACGTACCTATTTTAACGAATTTTATTCAGCGAAAATAAAATACGCCGTATTTAATGTTTTTTTGATATTTTATAAAATACGTTAAATACGTATTTTTCAACTCTGGTAAAAAGTGGTAAAGTGGCAAAAAGTGGCCTTAAGACTTAAGTGGAAAAGTTTGGAAAAGTTGGTCAGCCATAAAGGGCACCTAATGGGACTCAAAAACGTCAAAAATCCTCTGAAAGCTTCGTGTGTCAGCAGATCGATTTTTTCAGACGGATTTGTCTGTACTAACGGGTATCTGACGGGTTCTGATGGGTAAACAATTTTAAAGGAAGTGCCATACTCAGATTAAGATGTCCTTAATTTCCTTTTAACATGCTGATTGCTGCTTCGATCGGTAGTCAGTATTGTTTTCAGTTTATAGCATCGGCTCATTTATATTGATGTTGAGGACTGATAGCTATCGGAAGGGATGAAATAATGTATATTGATACAAGTATGCAACATTCACACTGACAGGGATTTAACACCCGTGCTAAATCCCTAGTGACGTGATGATAAGATGTGTCACGTGCTGTTGAGCCGCGCAACACGTGCCAGTGCGCGCTCCAAGCAGTGCTAGGTACGACTCGTCCAAACTAACACTATTCCTACTAGTACATATCATACAGACTACAAAATACAACCACTGAACAGATGAAAAATAAAAAATACGGTTGTGAATCACGGGGCCGAACTGAAACCTGGTGTCGCTGAACCATGAAAGTGGGGCTCACACTTTATCCACAGGTGATCAGCTGAGAAAACTGCAGAATAGGAACGATCCAATTCAAATTGTAATTGTATTAGCAGCAATTATAGCTTTATTTTACTTCCATCTGGTGGGTCCAGACCGGTTCAGGTGCTATCTGTGTTAAAATACGAGCGGGGAGGCTTCTTGTCTAGCTCTGTTTTGTATTTGCTCAACAAAAATGAGAGCAATACAGAGGCTGAGGAGCACTTGTCAGGTAAAGTTATAAGCTGTGCTGATGCGAGCAGAAAAGCGTTTTTCAGCAATGCGAATAGATCTCCGAGTATCTGTATACATTGCTGTAATAAATCTTTAATTGGAAATTAACGAATACATTTCAACCGGTACCGATCCATGAATGAATCTGCAGGTGCTTTATAATGCAGTACCAGCCTTGTATCCCCTGGTTAAAATGTCTTCCCATCAACACGGACTTCCGGAATGTGTTTTGTAATTGCGTCGTGGTATACTTTTTGGTCAAGTGTAAGCTGTCAATGAGCTATATGCTAAGCCGTATATTATTCTACCGAAGACCGCTAAGTTCCTAAATATTTCGCACTTCTACACCCATTTATCCCTGAAAAAGCTTTTTCTGGGACGATATCGTCCCTTCAGGGACGAGAAGAGGGGCCAGGGAAGGGCGGAGGAAGTGGCTGGAGTGGTATGGGAGCGTGATGGGATAATCTGAGGAGCTGGAGGTGGTGAGTATACATTATAATCTCCTGAGACCGGGACTTATCTGTACGGTGTCTTATTACATACGTGTTAATTGAACATGACTCACTCTTAGACTCTCTAGGGAGTATTGCACTGCGTTTTGTAACCCTGCGAGCACTGTTTGCTATTCCTCTTGCTATCCTATCTGTCATGTATCTTTCTTGACGTGTTCACTACCTGCCCGTGCACCTTCGCCCCACTCTTAAAGGCCCCCTTAACCTAACTTGTTCGTGATGGTTTATCTCGGTTTTCATTTGACATGTCTTGTGATCTCATAGGGTTAAAAGGTAGTGCCCTGTCCTGCTAGTGCTAGCGTTGTTTCTTTTCTTAAGTATACCGCTTCCGTATTCAACATGTTCAGTCATTTGTTTGTTGAATTCCAATTCGGTTTCCCTTTAAGTTTTAGACTTGTATGTTATTTTTCAGAGTTTCGTATATAATGTATCCATCAATAAGTTACTTCCCTGTTCATTAACTAATATTAATAAGTCGGTCTTCAATTAGGGGTAGTTAAACTTTTAAGATAAATTGGGTAATCTGGCTGCATTTTACACAACGTTTTTGAGGTGAAACGTGAGGCTGAGAATCCCGCTTGAAACACGAGAAGGTTTTGTTGACGAACATTTAAGTAGTTACATTACCTGTGCATTGTGGGTTGTGGATTGCTTGAATTTTAACGACTCCAGTTTTTTATCATAATGTACTCTAACTTTTTCCATTAACATTTTTTGTCCATTGCTTTGCACCGAATTTCTGGAAATTTCTTTCGTAATTCGTATTAGATTATTAAGTATAACACTTATGGAGCTTATTCTCTTATCAAGTATAACACCAAAATATGTTATGTTGGTACTCGATAACTCGATTCCCGAATCCGAAAGTAAAAATGAATCCCCAAAATATTTCATAGGATATTTTTGTGTGATATCAACTCATAACTTTCTGAATGCGTTTGTCAGAGCGGTGCACGATAGTTAAAATATGAAATGCGTAAGCGTAAGTGTGAACTGTGAGTGTTTGTAAGTGTGAGTGTTTGTAAGTGTGAGTGTTTGTATACAAATGTGTGAGCACTTGTGTCAACTGTCAGTATCCTAATGTAAGTAAGTACAATAAACTGGTACACTGTGAGTGTTACTGTACAGGTACCCCTGCCCCCAACACTCGCACCCATGAAACTTAATTAACATAGGGAAGTACCGTTATCCCCAAGAGAACCATTGGACACATTGCTGAGCTGCAATAAATCGTGTACCAAAATACAACGCTATACTTCTTCGACTAGTTTTATGTTTTGAGATATACTTCCAATGTTTTCCAAAACATTATGTCATTGACTTAAGAAATTCATATATTCGACGTTGGTATTGGATGCCATACCCACCAGTCACCACCATCTACAATCTCCTGTTATTACCTTATGTTGGCCTGTTTTGAAATTCTATCGCCCTTGTTTTGATTATCGATGTCCTCCCGGGGGTTACAACAACCTTTACCTATTAAATTCAGTATATCATCAGTTGTCACACCGTTTTAGCCATCTCGCTCTGTATTTTAATAATTCCAGAATTTCGGTGAATTCTGTATAAGTTTTATGATTCCTATCAATTCAGTATATAATTATTAGTTGTTTGTTAAGAGAAATATCTATTTTGTTATGTCATAATTTTGTAGTCATCCCGGATCATTTTAACGATAATTCTAGAATTTCTGAAATTTCGGTAAATAATTCCTTATATCTACTGCAAATGAAATTTCACGTTTCGTTTTCCGATTTCGCGTCGGTACACATCAACAACACGTTGTATAGTAATAAACGCTAATAGTTTATTCTCCAGAGAGAATACACGACTACCGTACACAGATCTACTCAAACTAACATTTTGTCTCCTCAGAGCAGGACGTGGTCTCATTTTCACTCGGTGTCAGTTAGATTGCTCCTCCTTATCATGTCTGTAGTTTCGAGTGTGGTGTTTGAACAGAACCCCCCTGCCAACCTTCGTAAGAGCAACTTCTTCAGTTTCGTTTGTAAATTGTTCGATGCGAACAATCAGGTTCTCCGGGTTTCCAGTGCTCTCTGTGTTGGATTTATTGAAAATAACAAGGTACGGTTGTGTTGCAGGGTCTTTGTTCCCCTGAGAATATTCTTCTTGTTGTATAAATTTCTTGGGTAGAATTCAACTTACAAACCCGCGGAAAAATAAGGGTGTGTCTTCGAGACTGTGTAATGACACTATGTCTACAGGTAGTTCTTTCATTCAAATTTCTGATTGTCTCTGAATAGACTCAGTGAAGACAGATTCTAATGGAAATAAATAGCTGAATAACGTATCGACATTTCTACGTCATACTCATTTTCTCAAATTATTTGTTATATAGTAGTGTTGAAAGTTTTCATACTTTGGAATAAGTTGCCAAGTCTGAAATAAAAAATAAGCAGGAGTAATCTGAGACATTTTCGTTTTAAAATATCGAAAGTCGAGGAAAGAACTATCAAATCATGAGACTCAATAACACTACACGAAATCTCCTATTATCTTACCGTGGATGTACGTACCTTGTTTTTTATCTAGTTTCTTATCTGTTTGAAACCCACAGGACACAAAAGTGCTCAGGAACGGTGTCCGGTATAAGCTGAAGATACTTACACAGGATGGGACTGAAGCAGAGGACTATATCCATGTTATAGTGGTAGACTCGGAGAGCAATGAGGTGAGATCCGGGGTTGCCTTTTAGTCACGTGACCCGGGGGCTTAGTCACGTGACCCGCCTCGAATTGTTAAATGTACTACATGAGGATTTGTGATTTTGTTGACGTATATTTGATGTGCAATTGTATTCTATTTATCAATAATTCCATTTTAAACTCACTCCTCTCCCCCAGATTGTCCCATTTCAAGGGCAGGACCGTAACCCCAGTATGACCCGAGTGCTTCTCACTCACGAAAGTATATGCAGCAGATGTGCTGCTAAAAAGTCGTGTGGTAACAAGAACGACACTCCAGCAGACCCAGTTATCCAGGACCACACTGGACTGAAAGTCTTTCTGAAGTGTAATCAGAACTGTCTTATCAATGCGGGCAACCCTAGAGAGCTCCGAAAATTCAAGGTTTTAACTATTTTAGTTACACTACTGTCACTGAGTTGCCAAATGATTCTTGACGATGTTTGTACTGCCAGTGAGTTAACTCAAAACTGAATGACATTCAATTTATTCAAGACTAATTGTATGATTTTACCAGCTAGCGATAAGCGGAACCCAAGATTTGAGCCTCAACAACTGGGCCTACTCCTCCGCCATGTTCGTCCACAACAACAGCAAACACGGCCGAGTCACCAAGTCTAAATCATCTCCTGACTGTCTAACAGGTATTTTGAGTTAAAAGTGTTGTGTTTATTATTTTAAGTTAAAATTTAACAAATTTACCGTATTAGAGTTACTCAGTTAGTTAAATAGCCGGCTCTACATTGCTGAGAGTGAGAGACATCATCACTAGTCACTTTAACTCCTTGGAACAGATTACAGAACAAAATTAACGGCCTTTTTAAAACGCCCTACCTGCGCAGTATTTAAAATGAGGGTCAATTTATTATTCTACTACATAATACGCATACCGTACTGCAGCCAGCAAATCTGAAACAGGTTTGATTAACAGTACAAATACTTAAAGTATCTGCCATATTCAAAATTCCTCTTGATTCTGGATCATCATCATAGAGATAACCCTCATTACTGTTGAGTTAAGCTTCTTTCGATCAGCCTACTCATATTGTTAAGTTTAAATTCCCATCTTCTCTCAGATCCCAGTATCTCACTGATATGGCCCCAGCCCGGGCCTCTCTGTGGTGGTCGCGCCCTCATTGTTGGTAAAAACTTTGCAGAAGATGCTCATGTACTCTTTGGTACGACATCTATTCATTCAAAGGTAAAAACAGTTAATTGTTGCAGGCAAGTTTTGGTTTACACTTAACTCACTAATTTGTGAGCGATTAGTGATTATTAATAATAATTATTATTACAATTATTACAGTTATTATAACAATATTACAATCTATTGTCGAAGAATTGACTGGCCAGGTCATTTTTTTAATCATTCATCATTCAATGATATTTTCTTGTTTCTGGTCTGCTAAATGAGAATATCTATCTGACCTTTCTACATAATTTGTGAGTATATTCCCTGAAAATGTGACGTAACCTGAGTAACCTCTGTATTTCAGGTGATAACTCCAGATGCCATCCAAATAGAGGTGCCGCCAGTTAGCCAGAGTAGCGTGATGATGGTGACGCTTATACAGCGGAACCAACTCTTTCAGAGAGGGTGGCACTACACCTACTGTAGCCCGGAGGTGGACCAGATCTCTGTGTCACCTTTAAATCTCTCAACGTCTAGACTCGCGAAGGTACGGAATCGTAACAAATTGTGACAATCTGTTTTTAAACTATAAAGTATGTCAAATGATGACGATGACATGCTATAACGATCTAAATCAGGCTACCAATTTCACAATTTCCTCTACTCAACATCTAATGAATTTTACTTCAGCCGTTTGGTCGACACTACAACGAAGCTGAACAGATAGCCACATTCTCGAGCATGCTGGGTATTAACAGGGATAGGCCGAGTAGGGGATACGCTCCCGCTCCTCCCCACTCCCCAACTTACCCTCCTCCCCCTAGAAAACCTATCGCTATCTCTGCAAACACTGAGGGAGAAGGTTAGTTTAATAAAAGTTTAATATAAGTCGCCAAGTCTGAAATAAAAAATAAGCAGGAGTAATCTGAGACATTTTCTTTTTAAAATATCGAAAGTCGAGGCAAAAATGTGGACTGTGGAGAGATTATTGGTATACAATATACTGTTCTATTTTCTTCTGTAAATGCCAATGTATTTCAGAAGTTCCGCCGTCAGCTAAAACCCCGATGGAAGAAAGCCCGTTCAGCTACTCAAAAGAAGGCAGTGCATTTAACCGAGTCCGGCGGGAACTGGTCCCGTTTCCCGGACCAACCACTCCCGAGGAGGAAGCTGCCCGATTGGAGACCGCTACTATTCTTCAAAGTCTCAAAACACGGTCACATGTTTCCCAAGATTACATCAAAATGGACGCTGAAACAACTACAACTGAGTCGCAGGGTCTCATCTGAAATTGGAGCTCCGTACCTATAATGTCGGATCATTTGTGAAGTAACGACTCTTGAAAGTGGGCTGTGATTGTTGAGCGAGGCCTCAATATTCCGGAGTATTGTAGGCTGCAGTTCAAGTTCAACCTTTCGTCGCTTTACTCTTGTGAAATGTGCCAACATATTTGAAACGGAAATATGAATGTATAGACATAGTAACTGAACGGGAGTAAGGTGGAAGGACACCTGAGAAATGATACTGATTATTTGAAACTCAAGAGAAACTGACGCTAAAACCTGCCGAGTGAGGGGATACAATTTTTCGAAACTCACTCGATTCATTCGTTGTTATAAAATGCACCCAATATTGAAATGATTGAATAAATGATAAGAGTAATGTATTTGTGATTTGGGTATGCATCAATGTTCTGCTAGAAAATCTGTCTTACTCTAAGTTCAATGTTGAAACCACTTCAAAGAATTCATTTTTGATTTTATGACATAATCAAGTCTTATCCTGATTTATGTTATCCGATTTATTGTCGGCGGTTTTATATGTTAACTTTCTAATGGAGATAAATGATAAAATGATGAAATTTAAGCAACTTAATACAAGACGAAAACCACATATTTCAAATTGACATGTTGAATGTTAATGTTACCTTTGTTCATTTCCACGACCTTTAAACATACTTTACTAATATTTACTCAAAGCAAGGGTTCTTCTTGATGTTCAATGTTAATTTGAGATTCCACTTAACAATTTATTTTCATTGTAATAATTTGTCTCATTTCCAAGGGGGGGGGGGGGGGGGGGGGGGGGGGGGCTCATGTTTTGTGTTCGTTTTTGTCCGTTCGGTACCCTATATTTTCAAAACGGACAAAAGTTAGGGCGGACAAAAACGGACAAAAACGGACAAAAAATGTTATGGAATTTGGAGATATAATTTAGATGCTTCCTCCTGCTCCTCCTCCTGCTCCTCCTGCTCCTCTTCATCCTCATCCTTATCCTCAGTCCTCCTTCTCAGTCCTCAATCTTCCTCATCCTCAGTCCTCCTCCTCCTCTTCATCCTCCTCCTCCTCCACCTCCTCCTCATCCTCCTCATCCTCCTCAGTCCTCCTCAGTCCTCCTCCTCCTCATCCTCCTCATCCTCCTCATCCTCCTCAGTCCTCCTCCGCTAAATCCTCTTCATCCTCCTCAGTCCTCCTTCTCCGCCTCAGTTCTCCTCCTCCTCCTCCACCACCTCCTCAGTCCTCCTCCTCCTCCTCATAGGGCGGACAAAAACGGACAAAAATGTTATGGAAATAAAATTTAGATGCTTCTTCTTTCTCCTCCTCCTCCTCTTCCTCTTCTTCCTCCTCTTCTTCCTCCTCCTCCTCCTCTTCCTCCTCCTCCTACTCCTCCTCATCCTCCTCCTCATCCTCCTCCTCCTCCTCCTCCTTAGCCCTCCTCAGCCCTCCTCCTCTTCCTTCTCCTTCCCAGTCCTCCACCTCCTCCTCCTCCTCCTTCTCCTCTTCTTAGTCCTCATCTTCTTCAGTCCTCTTCCTCAGTCCTCCTCCTTCTCCTCAGCCCTCCTCCTCATTCTCCTTCTCAGTCCCCCTCACTCCTCTTCATCTTCATTCTCCTCTTCCTTCCCAGTCCTCCTCCTTCTCCTCTTGATTCCCAGTCCTCCTCCTCCTTTCAGTCTCCTCTTCTCAGTCCTAATCCTCTTCAGTCCTCAATCCTCCTCCTCCTCCTCCTCCTCCTCCTCCTCCTCCTCCTGCTCCTCAGCCCTCCTCCTCCTCCTCCTCCTCCTCCTCCTCCTCCTCCTCCTCCTCCTCCTCCTCCTCCTCCTCCTCCTCCTCCTCCTCCTCCTCCCCTTCTTCCTTCTCCTCCTCCTCCTCCTCCTCCTCCTCCTCCTCCTCCTCCCTCCTCCTCCTCCTCCTCCTCCTCCTCCTCCTCCTCCTCCTCCTCCTCCTCCTCCTCCTCCTCCTCCTCCTCCTCCTTCTCCTCCTCCTTCATCTCCTTCTCAGTCCTCCTCTCTCCTCCTCTCATCCTCCTCCTCCTTCCTCCAGTCCTCCTCCTTCTCCTCTTGATTCCCATCCTCCTCCTCCTTTCAGTCTCCTCCTTCTCAGTCCTAATCCTCTTCAGTCCTCCAATCCTCCTCCTCCTCCTCCTCCTCCTCCTCCTCCTCCTCCTCCTCCTCCGCCTCCTCCTCCTCCTCCCTCCTCCTCCTCCTCCTCCTCCTCCTCCTCCTCCTCCTCCTCCTCCTCCTCCTCCTCTTCTTAGTCCTCACTCTTCCTTCAGTCCTCTTCCTCGTCCTCCTCCTCTCTCCTCACTCCTCCTCCTCTCCTTCCTCCTTCTCTCTCCTCCTCCTCCTCCTCCTCCTCCTCCTCCTCCTCCTCCTCCTCCTCCTCCTCCTCCTCCTCCTCCTCCTCCTCCTCCTCCTCCTCCTCCTCCTCCTCCTCCTCCTCCTCCTCCTCCTCCTCCTCCTCCTCCTCCTCCTCCTCCTCCTCCTCCTCCTCCTCCTCCTCCTCCTCCTCCTCCTCCTCCTCCTCCTCCTCCTCCTCCTCCTCCTCCTCCTCCTCCTCCTCCTCCTCCTCCTCCTCCTCCTCCTCCTCCTCCTCCTCCTCCTCCTCCTCCTCCTCCTCCTCCTCCTCCTCCTCCTCCTCCTCCTCCTCCTCCTCCTCCTCCTCCTCCTCCTCCTCCTCCTCCTCCTCCTCCTCCTCCTCCTCCTCCTCCTCCTCCTCCTCCTCCTCCTCCTCCTCCTCCTCCTCCTCCTCCTCCTCCTCCTCCTCCCTCTCCTCCCTCCCCTCCTCCTCCTCCTCCTCCTCCTCCTCTCTCCCTCCTCCTCCTCTCCTCCTCCTCCTCCTCCTCCTCCTCCTCCTCCTCTCCTCCTCCTCCTCTCCCTCCTCCTCCTCCACCTCATCCTCCTCCTCCTCCTCCTCCTCCTCCCTCCTCCTCCTCCTCCTCTCCTCCTCTCCTCCCTCCTCCTCCTCCTCCTCTCCTCCTCTCCTCCCTCCTCCCTCCTCCTCCTCCTCCTCCCTCCTCCTCCTCTCCCTCCTCCTCCCTCCCCTCTCCTCCTCCTCCTCCTCTTCCTCCTCCTCCTCTTCCTCAGTCCGCAATCCTCCTCCTCTTCCTCATCAGTCCTCCTCCTCCTCCTCCTCCTCCTCCTCCTCCTTCTCCTCTTCCTCATCAGTCCTCCTGCTCCTCTTCCTCAGTCCTCTTCCTCCTCCTCTTCCTCAGTCCTCTTCAGTCCTCGTCCTCTTCTTCAGTCCTCCTCCTCAGTCCTCGTAGGTACGACACCTTCTCAGTCCTCCTCCCCCTCCTCTTCATCCTCAGTCCTTGTTTGTACGAAACCTTCTCAGCCCTCAGTCCTTCTCTTCCTCCTCCTCCCCCTCTTCCTCCTCCTCCTCAGTCCTCCTCCTCAGTCCTCCTCCTCAGTCCTCCTCAGTCCTCCTCCTCCTCCTCCTCAGTCCTCCTCAGTCCTCCTCAGGGACAAAAGGATTTCGCGATTATTTTGGCCAAAAATCGCGATACCGCGAAATTTAACAGGCTATACCATATACATTAAACTATACATAAAATTTGTCGCAAATAATGGGAAAAATCACGATACCTTCTCAGTTCTCGTATTACATTTAAATTTGTTTGACATCGTAAACATTTAAAAGACTCGACCTTATAAGTCTGAATAGGTCCTAAAGTGCAGTAATTAGAAGACATTGCTTGGTTACTTTGGAATTTTGACTTTTGATTCAAATTCAATTTCCATATCTACTACATACTATAGCACATATAGCAAATGCTAACTAGCTCTTCATCGGAGTATCGAGTTCTTGCCTAGCCTATAGTAATTAAGCGAATATTTATCTACCGAACGATATTTTTCATGAATAAAGTGATTTTCATTCCTTTTTTATGTTATTAAAAAAGTATATACTATTCTTTGTTCCTAACTGAGGATTGAAAGTTTGAAAAAGGACCATTATCATTAACCGTGCTATCCATTTCTACAAATAGCATGTTACAAATTTTGGAGACAATTTAAATCAAAAGTTACAATTTTTGTCCGTTTTTGACCGTTTTCGTCCGTTCGTTTGTCGTTGTCTATTTTCTGAAAAAGGACAAAATTGAACGGACAAAAACGGACATAAACGGACAAAAACGGACAAAAACAACATGAACACCCCCCCCCCCCCTTTCCAAGTCGTCGAAAAAAAGGTGGTTTAATTTTGTTTGGAATAGATTTAGAGTATAGTATGGTAAACAGGAAATGTTATAACTGAAATCGTGTACGTTGTACGCGTTCAGTTTGGTGTCACTGTCACTGTCAGCGTGCTGTCGGTTGAGTTAGCGTCACGTTGATGTAGTAAACTATAAAGAATTTTATGGTTTCAGCATGTACTAATACTAATAGTACTACTACTACTAGCATGAGCAGGTAAAAGTAATAATAGTAGTCCTAGTACCACAAACGATTACTTATTACTGTGTTATTCAGCTCAATCAATCATTTGTGGATTGTTTTTACTTTTGTGATAATCACAAAGATCAAACCCAAGCTATACTATTATGATAATATTAATACTTATTGTGAAATCCAAATGCATTTGTGATGCTAAACGTTGGAAAAATGGAACGCCAATTTTAATGTCTAAAGTTTGAAATTATAAACGTAAATTGTAGAAGTAACAAACATAAATGTTTCTCAATTCTAGCAACCGGGATTTTAATTTTATTCATATTTTATTACCTAGCTTGCTAATTCATAATTGCTTGTTTCTTTTTATATTATGTCTTACCTATTATATAGAAAACGCTGCGCACAGGGCCGGATTGGATTTCATGGCAAGCCAGGTAATTTTATAAAGCACTGGGCCGCGCTTAACCTGTATTCGTTCCGCCGAATCTAGCTATTCGGTTTATGAACATTGAACATAATAGGGATGATAATTAATCACTTTACACTTGACTGTTACGTGACTTTTTTAACCCGTTCTCTAGCTGGTCCTGAACGACTATTCGAAACCCTAACCCTCTTATCTGATCCCAACCCTAACCCTAACCCAATCCTTAACAAAAGCATATGCTGAAACCCTAACCCTAACAAGAAATTAGACTAACTTCCTTTATATACAGTCATATCACGTGATCGAGACAGTTTTTCGCCTATATCTCGTCAGGGGAGTATTTTTACCCTATGTCATGGGAGGTGATTCGGAATCAGCGTCCGAAAATACATCGAATGAAGTTGGTTTAAACTGTCGGGGGCCCTTTTAGAACAATCTCGAAGATCGATTGTAGAGTGATTTAGTACGCTCGACATAATAGCCTGTAGTCCCTAGCTAGGTAGGGCTGCGCGCCTACATTCTACAACATACGATGTACGAGCTGATATGAAAAGGATTAAAATCGTTCGCGTTAATTAAGCAATGAGCATTGCAAAAGCAATAGCATTACAACACTCCATTTAGTTAATTATAGGAGAGCTAGCTAGGTGCACGATTCACCTAACTATGTGCTTTCGCGCCACTGCGGGCGCGCTTGTTTCACAAGTCAGTTTTTTACCGCCGTGAGGCGGGCGCGCGCTACTGCAAGCGCAAGGGCTCTGGATAGAGCAAGTGCACGATAAAATTAAACTTGCTCAGATTTAAAAAATGTTTGTACCATTGTTTTTTAAAATGTTTGTAGGTTTACAACCTAGTACCCTAGGACGCGCGCCGAGTTGGACTTTGACATACGTTGCATGCCACTTTTCGCGCGCGATCAAGCGCGCGCCGCCGAAGGACTCGTC